CACAGAAAGTAAGTGCATTTATAGCACGGGCAGAAATAATCATGCTAGCTTTATTATAGCTGGCACATATAATAAATTATAATATGGACTTAATGACAAGATGTACTTGGAATTCACACATTACATGGAGAAGTCCATATCGTCATGTCCCCAGTATTAAAATTGCTAGATAAAGATGGCATGGTTATGTCTCATTAAACTACACTGCATCTTCACGGGCTGCATCAATTTACAGTAAAGGAATCGGGGCACCGAATCAGACTGCCTTTCAACAGCAGCTGGCAAGCACAGCTCATTTGTACAACGCCTGCCTATTCTGTATTCACTGACATGCAATTTATAACAGCACTAATTTTCTTATATCTGATTTTATAATTCCCATTAAATTTTATAATTTACCATCACCAAAAAGAATGGTTTGGCAATGCTAAAAAGCTTTATCTAGAGTTTTCCTTTAACTGTTCTACAGCTCTCGAATTTAAAAGCATCAAGAGTTGATGAGTGTAAATACTGATTTTGTCAGTGTTATTTTGTGTCTGAAGGCAGAAGCGTTAGTATCTGAAAGCTCGGCAGTGTTTACTAGATTACAAGCATAAACATGAACTCATCAGCTTCACAGACTGGACCATATAAACAAGCCTTAAGAAAAAATACTCAGTGCAAACAGTAACAACTAGATATGGCCAGTTCATATAAAGGGGAAAAAAACTGTCTGTTTTCATAGTTATTTTGGAGTTCCCCAAAACAAGAGGTGATGAAACCCAAGGATGTACCCATTACTCAGCTGCTTTAAGTTTACCAACACACCGGTGTTTCTTCTAATTGTAACTTTGACCCTTTTCCTTGGCATGTGCCAGCGAACCAGAACAGAAGTCAAGAGAAGGTTTCAGACAAAAATACCAGTTCTCCCAGCTTTTTCTGAAACACAGTTCAAAGAAATCTAAAAACGCTAAACTATGTCAGGTGAAATTTTCCAGACTGCTTACCATAATCTTAACTTTGAAAAATTACAGCTGAAGTCTTAAATCAAAAAGTCTGTGCAAGTTTTACTAATGGCTTCAACAAGAGAAGAGAACAGGAACTTCAAGTTGAGACAGACCAAGTATCACATTACTTCATCCAGCTCTGTGATGGAGAACCAAAGTTTGTAGGAGCTAAAGGCATCATCTCGTGAGACACTGGTAGATCACTTCCCATATTTGTGAGTTTCACAACAGGTATCGCTTAAGCTGGACAGGACCTAAACTGAAATGGGGTCAGCACTAAAGGACAGTTCTCAAGCGATTAAATAAATAAATATAAAATTTACATGAGTTTGTATCCCTGTCCACCCCCAAGATCTATGTACATTTGGTTTAGCGTGTAACTGTATCAAACAATCATATTTCACTCACTTTTGGCCCCAGCAAGACTGTTAGCCACACCACCACCACCTGCTTCCTTAAATGTGGACTCAACTAGTGATGAAAGCACTTGCAGTGCCTTGTTTCATCAACAGATTACGTTTAGAGAAACAGATGCCTTTATCATATTGACACAGTAAGTTATTTTGTAAGCATACTGTTTATACTAAGCTAGCAAACTTTTCAGCTAATTTGAGTACTGAAACTTACCTGAATTGTTCCCTATGACTTCCCAAACCTAACGACATTTCGTTGAAAATTTTTCTATGCTGTCAAGTAGAGGTAAACATGGGATCTTGAGTTCTAAAGATAATTAACTACATAGGTAAAGTGCTTAACCTCAAAAAACAAGGAATTGCTCATTTCAACACATGAAGCTTCTCCGTGAGCACAAGTAATCCTACAACCCAGAAAAGGAACTGTAAAGGCAGTCAAGAACTTTCGGGTTTCAGCCAGTTCTCCAGAACTAACTCTCCAGCTAGAGAGAGCTCATAGTAATAGAGATGACATAATGACCAAAATTGAACAGCAGACAACTGACATTTAATAACAATATTTTGAATTATTAGAGGGTCAGAACAGCTACTCTTGACCTAAAGCATTATGGGAGTGAAGAACAGCACATACAGGGACAGACACTGCCAACCCACTATGAAATAAGCGTGCTGGTCACTACCTGGGTGAGAAGATTTGGCCACTGCATGCTGTGCTACAGCTATTTGTGTCTAAAATAACAGCAAAATTAAGGACAAATTCCTAAACGATCTCCAGAGGTGGTGTGGGGACTTTTATGTTCAGCCTGTCTTTCCTCCTCAGCATTTCCCTACCGCACTTCTTCCCCATCAGAGCAGATGACAGTTGAGCTTAAATACGCTGCTGTTCTACTGGACAACTATGAGAACAAGCTGTGAACAAGGAGCTATATGGAAACACTATGGAAATTAACATCAAATAGACTTCTGTGTAAATGATTTTGTACAAGAAAGTGTCATTCATCTCGCCAAATTTTCCCACTCAAAACAACACTGCTAACGGTCTATTGCTAGTTATACTTAAAAAAAAAGTAACTGCACTGAATCACAAGATAAAACGCATATGTTTAACCTCTTGCATGTGACAGTTGCTATCAATGGACTATATGAACGTTTTTCATTATCAGATTTTTCTTGTTACCAAGGTCTTGTTATCATAGCATAGATGGAAAAAAAGTGAGCATTATATTGCAACAAAACTAAGGCTTGTTATTTTTGCTTTTCTCCAATATGCTTTCTAATGAGGATACTGTATGAATTAACTTGCATTTCCTGAGTCACCTGCTGTTTAAGGTTACAACCTTAAAAAAAGTCTACTTTTATATAAAATAAATATAGCTCTTAATTCAGTATGTTGTATTTAAGGATGTACTTTGTATAAACGTCAGCAATTGGCTATGATAAGCACCCTAATTGTAAGAAAGCTGATCTAAGCAATAAGCTAGCTTGGGGTTATAGATCTATTGTAGCAGGAAAGAAGAAAGGTTCAGTTAAAAGTACATCAGCTTCACCTATTACTCGAGTATTTCCTGCTATTCAATTTCAAGAACTCAAATTGCCTTTTATTACATACTGGGAAATTTTTTCAAGAACTTGTGTATACAAGTTTGAAGAAACATTTGACATAACGTGAAATACCAAATGAGTGTAGAGATTGGCAATCCAATGCAAGTGTACACAGAAGAGCATATGCTTCACTTTTAGCTTGTGTGTCTGTGATCCACAAGAAGAGCTCTGCAAAGACAATCTGAACACATACTTTATTACATTAACTAGATGGCTAACTACAAAATATATTTTTTGCATTGTGTTTAAGTGAATTTTCAGGAACACTAATTTCATCCTCTGGTGTTACAGTCTTCCTTTGGATCTGCGTTGTTGGGTCTCAGATTCCGTATGAGTGTCACAAGAAAAGGAGTATATTTGAGCATTTACAAAGTGCCCTTTAGAAAAACATTTATCACTATGGCAGTGCTCGATTTTTTGCTAATTTTAAGAATACTTGTACTTAGCTTTTTTATTTCACAACTACAATGCAACAACAAAAATTCTATGATTCTGTTCTCTGTGCTAGCTTTTATCTAGTGGAAAACAATTTCTACTCTACTTTTCTGGCCACTTTCATATTTATTATGTAGGTATTTGGAGTATGTGCATGCTAAATTGTATAAACGGATTTAAAGTATAAATCTGTACCCTTTTGCCAGAACACGAGCTTCAAAAAAAGAGGCAAATGAAGTAAATAGACAGAAGTAGACATCGTCTTTTTGTAATATTGTTTTCCAAGTTCACTATTATAGATAAAAGCAATTCTGTTCACTTTTTTTATCATCAGATACTGTCATAGATACTAACTGTGATAGATGCTTTTGGAATGGTTAGTCACAGTACGGTATAAATTAAGCTTCCAGATGTATTTCATTTTGGATATTAACAAGCTCATCTGCTTATAACTTCTGCCACTAACAAGCTCAACTCGTGCAGAACAATGCCCTAGATCTCAGGAATTCTTTACCTTTTTTCCAAAGCTTCAAGACCTGTAAAGAAAAAAGGATATTAACAGAAAACTGTTTGAATAGCATGCCTGCCATCTCAAATAACCTGAAACCTTTTACTCCTTTATTGAAAGAGAAACTGAATTATCTGGGAGTTCAGACTTCATGATGAGCATTGACATTTAACTCTTCTTCCTTTGTGACCGAATGACAGTATTACTGTAACTACAGTATATTAGGTTTCAGGCACATCTGTCTGAAACTGGAAATGTTGCATGAATTCTAATATGAGCAAGTATCTTAAGCAAAAAGATATACCAATAGCCACAATGCCTGCTCCAGCTAAATTTGTTTAAAAAGGAATTTAAAGTGGCAGTACTGTCACTGAAAATAATAAGATAACAAACACTTAGCTCGACATATTTATTTTTCAAGCTCAATAAATAAATGTAAATACACAAATTTGGAAAAATCTTAGTAACAGAATGTTTTTAAACAACATTCTGGCTTAAAGTCTTTGTTATTGACACTACTGGAATATTTTCTGATCTGCTTAAAGTAGGTAAGTCATTATGTTGGTGATCCTCCATCACATTAATTTGTTTGAAGAAGTTAGGCTGCTGCAAAGGAAAAAAAGATGTCAACCTTTGCTTTGACATAGAAAATTATCTGAACTGAATACATCAAGTATTAAAATTACTTTCCTGGGCATGACTTTTCTAGAGCATAGAGAAAATTTTAAATTTACAGTTTGCCTAATAGAGACCTCCTACCATTCACTACTTCATTATTATAAAAGGGAAATTGTAACAAAAGCGGAAAAAGCAAAAGAGAAAAAGGCATGGAAGAAAAAAGTGATACAAACTGGCCCTTTAGTTAAGACGACATTCTTCCTTTATCCATCTAATTTTCATTCTAGGTTTGTAACAGATTTGTGTGATGACTGGTTCCCATCACTGCAGCAAGTCTGCCTGAAGTAATTTAAAGCAGCTTTTTACTGGTGGACTTATGTTTAGACACCCTCTCTCTTACACACATTCTCCAAACACCTGAAACTAGGAATGTCATATTCCACCTGGCTGCCTTAGCTTTCCCAGATTATTGTATACTAACACACTTACCCAGGCTTAGAGCATGAATACATAACTTGTCCAAGAGAAGCAGCCTTTTTCAAAAGTATCTACAAATTGCTAAATAGAAATTTTTATCAAAAAGGTTCAGCAAGAAGGTAATTGTTATTGACTTAATGGAAGTGGAGGAAGATTTGTGGTTCCCTCAAAATTCAGCAAGTATTCTGTTTCTGTATTCTATAAATACTACAAGACGCAACATGTTTATTTGGTTCCCATAAATTAGAAAAATCTGGTTTCCAAAAATTCTAAATTAGTGATTTAAAAAAACAAAATATTACACCTTTCCAAACAATCTCGGAGAGCAGCCTAGCTTCTCTCTCACCCTTCAGAAGTGTGCTTTTTAAGGATACATGATTTATAAAACAAACAAAAATGTGTTTTTAACTACAGTACACTTGCTTAAATATACAAGTGGACACGTTAACGTCATGTTAGAGTTCAAGGTACTTCCGGAAAAAAGGCAGATAGTTAGTTATTTTAAATCTGCATTCTTATAGAATAATGATTATTATAGACCTTAGTTTCCTCTCATCATTCACCTATCATATGGAGAGGTCAATAAATAAGAACTTATCTGGTCCAGTTTACCTACAAGAGAAAAAATACTAAAGGAAAAAGAAGTTATCTATAAAATTACTTGTTTAACCCTGATAACATCTGAGTTGCCATACCCAGTTTGTAATTGCAAGAAAAGCAAACAATATTCATCTTGCTTATTAATAAATGCCCCGTTTTCTACGACCTTTTTTTGTATGATGCCTATCAAGTCACATACTCTTGGGGCAAGAAAGCTGGCCAGGAGGTGCAATGATAGCAGTAACACAGTATAAATCTGGGTTCAAAAAACCGAACATACCAGATCCAGAAGCAAAGAAATCTGGACACATTGAAGAGGCAGTGCCCAGCTGTTATTTGGGCTCTTGTATCATGAAGACTATACCCAGCCTAAGATATAGTTTCATACCATGTAAGTAACACAGAATTCTGTTGTGCTAGTGTACAGACTTCAGGAAAAAGTCTTACACAAAACGAATTACCTCCTTTGTTTAGAGTGGAAGATAAAATAGCTTACTAACTGATGTAATGAGTAATGGATGTCACTATGACACAAAACTTGCCATGATTTGTGTGTTCAGCTACAAGGTGCAGTATTTCTTATGACTAACTCAAAGCACAGCCGCATCCAACTGTGATTTGGAATTCCATCTTGAGCAACACGCACTATGACTTTGAAGAAAGTCTGTATGATTGTAACAAAGTCACCCATCCTCTCTTGAAACGTGAACAAAATCCATGGGGTAATCAGGCACAGGCGGCATGTAACAGGTTTGTCTTCCTTTTTACTCCTTGTTTTTGCTTCTGAGGACATGCACTTGGCTCCAGACTAAATTCATGTTCTATTACAAGAGAACACAGCTATTCTTCTCTTTTTCTCTCTCTTTCTCTCGAGGCTCTTTACGTTTGCGCTCATTACTCCCAGATTGTCTTCCACTTGCTGGAGAAGCAGCACCTTGCACCTGCTGTGTAGAAAAAATAAAATCTTGAATAAAACAAACATTACTGCAGATGCAGTCTGAAGCATTACTCTATGTTCAAGTCCACAAACAAAACAAGTGTTATGCAAACAGCAGAATTCAGTAGGGTCTTTCTGTATAAATACTCCAGAATTGCCACAAAACTTATTTCTAAAAAAACCAAAATCAGCTGAAAACATATTTCAAGTCCTGTGTGTCCCTTCTATTGTGTCCACATATTCAGATCAGTTGTTTCAATAATAAAATTTGGCTTCAAGCATTTTCTGGCACTTCTGTATTACTGTACTGGAATTTTTGCCTAGTTTCTTTCATAAGAACATAATCCACATTTCAGAAGTTGCAGAGTGAAAGTGTTAGTCTTGACAGCTAGATATGGCAAAGCAGCAGCTTTTTGTGACTAGAAACTAGTTAAGAACTTGGCAAGGTGGTTGGTATACAAAGGCAACATAAGTTTTGTTAATTCATCATCTATTCCAGCTGTTATCCATTCATAGCTGCAAACGAGCATGCTGTTAAGTCCTGTTAAACACATTCTTCAGTTCTTTCTACCTTTTTGCAGCCAGCAGTAGTGAATCTTTGCCTTAGAAGTAGCTACTGATGATTCTATTAAACCAATAAGCAGTGGAAATAACTTTTAATTGTCAAAATTCTTGTTTCATGCTTAACAAGCACATCAGTTAATGATTCTGAATTGCTTCAGACCATCAAAGATTCAGCCTTGATACAGATTATTTTTTACATATTTGTAAATAAAAGCAGTTTTAAAAGTCTTCAGCAGTTAAGAACTCCTTGAATCCAAAACACCAACTTAAATATTGCCTCTGGCACGCAAGATTCAGTTATATGGCAATTTCGTATATACACATGCATGAATCACATTTTCCAAGCATTTTGAACGCAACCGCTTATGGGGATGGGACGGAAAGGTGTACTGGGGGAAGCTGTTAATTTCCTAATTTGAAACAGGACTGAATAGATTCACATGATATAGACTGAAAGACCTAAAAATGTAAAGCAACAAATTTCTGCAAGACAAAATAAAGATAAAACACTGACTACTATCAAAAAGCTCTTATTTGAATACTATTTTCCAAGTAACGTAAAATATTAGCTAATAACAATCTTTGTAACCTTACATATTAACTCATCCCATCATTCCAGCTTAAATAGTATGAGTGAAACCCTACTTTAGAAGGTTAGGCCTGCTTTAAAGTATTTAAGTGGCAGCAACTGCCATATCTACATGCATACGCCAACAATTATAGCATATTTCTTAAAATTCCTATATTCATCTCATCACTTGCTGTACAGAATGTAAATAGCAGTCTTACCAGTCTGAAACATTTACAACCGTACATGTGTCTATGGAGCTATTAAGTTACACAGACTAAAACTGTCTAAACTAAACTCTCTAAAACTGACGATCATATTCTGTAATAATGCTTTCTTACCTGGACCTGAGCAGCTGCTTGTTCTTGTTCCTGATAGTACTGAGAAGCTCTCCTGTCCTCCTCTTCCTGGAGCTTCTTTGCTAGCTCTAGATCACTGATTCCTTCTGGGATCTGTTCCCAATTAATCTCTTGATTTTGCTGCTCTTGTTGTAGAGACAATGCCATCAGATAATCCTAAACAGTAAACTTGTTTGTTAATGCTCTTTCACACAGAAAAGAGCCAGGTCATATCAAGTGAATTTTTCAGCATGTGCAGCTACGCAGTACCTTCCCTTTTCCCCAGCCTCATCTTCAAATACATCTACCTCATGGAAAACAGGAATTTGTTTCAGAACCTGTTCATAACCTGAACGGCAGAAAGGCTGAAAACAGCTACTTTACATTCCTTCTTTTACAGTGCCTATGTTGCAGCATACAAAACACAGAAGCTAATTAAAAAAAAATTGCTTTCAGGTTTAAATTCCATTACCTGGACAGCAGCAAAAGACAGACAGTGTCAGCTCACACCAGTTCTAGGTAGAAGTAAAGATTTTGAAGCTCTTTATAACGTGCTATTTCTAATTAACTCTATCAAGCATAAAACAGAGTGTATCTGTCCCCACTTTACTGAACAGTGTTGAGAGTACATCAATAAGGAACACTAACTCCTCAAACAGATGAGAAAATAATCAAAAGGCAGTTTTGGATATATCCAAACAGACAGCAACTCAAGATACTACTAGCCCTGTTATCTCTGCCAGATTCTTTATTATACAAGAGAGATACAGTGCTTGAATTTATTAAAAAATATCTGCTTATTCATTTTTTCCCAGTATTTAAGAAACATTAATGGTGATTATTAAAAAGATAAACTTATTTTGCTTGTTCAGAATGTAAGATTTCCAAGGAGCCTGGTCTTGCTATGTGCTTATGCATTAACTGGTATAAATAAGTCCTGTCTCAGACACAACTTCTGGAAACTATTATATATAGTTAAGAATAATGAATAACCACCATCACACACAATCTGCTATGGCTTTTATCCTACATTCAGCAAAGTGGGCAGCAGAAGACAAAGTTCAGTTATCATAGAATCATTAAGGCTGGAAAAGACCTCTGAGATCATCGAGTCCAACCATTAACCTAACTGCCAGGTCCACCTCTAAACCATGTCCCTAAGCACCACATTCACATGTTTCTTCAACACTTCCAGGGACTGTGATTGCACCACTTCCCTGGGCAGCCTGTTCCAATGCCTGACCACTCTCTCTCTGAAGAGATTTTTTTCTTAATATTTAATCTAAAATCTAAATCTCCCCTGGCACAACTTGAGGCCATTTCCTCTTGTCCTATCACTTGTTACTTGGGAGAAGAGACCAACCCCCACTTCGCTACAACCTCCTTTCAGGTAGCTGTAGAGAGCAATAAGGTCTCCCCTCAGCCTCCTCTTCTCCAAACTAAACAACCCCAGCTCCCTCAGCCGCTCCTCATAAGACTTGTGCTCTAGACCCTTCACCAGCTTCATTGCCCTTCTTTGGACACGGACATGCTCCAGCACCTCAATGCCCTTCTTGGAGTGAGGGGCCCAAAACTGAACACAATACTCAAGGTGCGGCCTCACCAGTGCCCAGTACAGGGGCACCATCACCTCCCTGGTCCTGCTGGCCACACTATTCCTGATCCAAGCCAGGATGCCATTGGCCTTCCTGGCCACCTGAACACACTGCTGGCTCATGTTCAGGTGGCTGTCAACCAACACCCCAGGTCCTTTTTTGCCAAGCAGCTCTCCAGCCACTCCTCCCCAAGCCTGTAGCATTGCATGGGGTGGTTGTGACCCAAGTGCAGGACCTGGCACTGAGCCTTGTTGAACCTCATACAGTTGGCCTCGGCCCATCGATCCAGCCTGTCCATGTCCCTCTTTAGAGCCTTCATACCCTCCAGCAGATCGACACTTCCACCCAACTTGGTGTTATGACAATATTATTAAGCTGAAATGAATTTGTTACAGGGGGAGAAGTTTCACAGTGCTGTTTCTGTTCCATATACAAGGCAGATGTGACATTTCACCTGAATAAGTTCTTTGCAGAAGTGGATTCTGAGACATTAAAATCAGATTTTCCAACTATCATGGTTGGTCTTACTCTTCCCTCCCTCGAATTCATGCTAATACTTCAAAGTAGCACTTTTGAGAATACCAGCCTAAGAATTTTTTTTATAGTCCTATATATGCATGAGTACACATACATACACATCTGTGTAAGTATACACACACATATATATTTGACTAAAAATAAGTAGTAATTGTTATATATAATCAGAAGGAAACAGAAAAATACAACAGAAAGGCAGAAATCCAGTACTTGATCGATTTGATCCTGCTGCCCTCTGTAGACAGTTTCAGGGTCTGATGGAGGCCGTAAGTGGAATTCAGAATCACAGAAATTTCCATCACCATCCACATTGTGTAAGCTTTCCCAGACAACTTTCTCTTCTGTAAGAAAGCCCTGGTCTGTCACCAGCAGGTAAAGCTGACCCTATGCAGAAGAATAAAGAAAACCTGTAAAACTATTTTTTACCATCTGATATAATTAGCAGAAATGATCAGCTAGTACAACTGTTGCATTCCAGTAAAACATTCATTTAGATTTTTTAGTAAGTTGAAAATTTAAATGAATTGGTATACAGCATTAAAACACCAGATACTAGTATTCATTGCTAAATTAACAGCCACACTTAATTTCTGTATTCCATCTTGTAATTTTTCATTATTAATGAAAGTTCATATTGACTAAAAATTAATATAAAGCATTAATATATACCTTGATAACTCCTTGGAAACACACCTAAGAAGTATACCTCAAGACTGGCAATGTAAATTTTAAATCCCAGGACAAATCACATTAAATTCCAAAGGCAAGATCTGGAGATAAAGGTGATCTTTCCAAATAATCCAGAGGCATTACCTCAAAATGAGCGCATCTCAGACTTCATGTTTTATAATGCATTTTGACAGAATTTGAGGTTAATTTCAGTTGAAAAAACTGAATTTAAGATTCTATTACTTGTCACCAATAACTGCTTTTGTTGGATTTTAGCCTTTTTACAGTTCCACAAGGCCAAATTTCTTGATTTCAAACTCTGAAATTATAAAATGGGCTGCTCTGGGAGTGAGAGAGACAATACTAACAAGTCCAGAAGCCAAGGTACAGGAAGGATGAAATGCAAGCTTAGGTTGAAGGAACGGGAGAGGAGCTGAAGTTCAAGGGAAATTACAGAAGTGGGTCTCAAGTAAAAGGAGATGGTGCTGCGTGTTTGATGGACAGCAAAGCAGCACAAAAATCCACATTTAAATTTCATTTTAAATTAGTTTTTAATCTTATCCTACCCTTTTTATAATGTTTTTAGAATTATACTCCAAAGCAAGAATGTTATTACTGACCATAGAGCACATTAAGACTGAAGCTTCCATTACTATTAATAAATGTACCAGATCAAGATATTCAATGCAAAACTTGTTGCAGTGTTTTAGCTGTAAAAAATCAAAGCAGTTTATTGTGACACCCACAAAAAATTGCTATTTATATTACACCAACACACAAAGGGTTCTCAAAGATCACTGTGCTAAAGATGTACCAAAACACAAGAGGCAGTTCCTGTTCTAACGATTTCATAGGCTGAACAGGCAAAAAATTAAAACATTGCCCCTATTCAACAGAACTAGCTCACTGATTTCTCTCAAGTCATTAAAAGACTGCCTATAAGAGATGCTGAAATTAAAATCGGATCTCTTGAATCCTACTAAATTTACAGCCATCCCTTCCGCGGCTGGTAGGTCATAGGACAAAACAAAAACATTATTTGAAGATTCACATGCAGCGATTGTTCTAATATTACCTAATACCATAAGATGCGCTTATACAAAAGGCCAAACAGAACAGATAAAAAAAACCACAAAGGACACTACTATATGTTCAAGCTTTGGAATGGCAGTTACCCCAGCACAGGTGGGCTTACAGGCATAAATGCAATTGTCAGCAACAAGTCTGATCACATAACATGATCTAAGGAATCATCTTTCCCTCAGAAACCTGCCTAAAAACTGAATGCTACTTCTGATGATTAAAAAAATCACCCACGGAAAATAAAAGGAAGTAATTTCACATTTCCAATTTGCACAGAATACCTATTTCACAGTATCTTATATATAAGAAGTCTTTAAAAAAAAGTAAAAAAAAAAGACCAAAAAAATTACAGAATCTTTAAGTGTATTTGACCCTTTTCAATTTTATTTTGACCAGTACTTTGATTCAAACAAAACCTAAAAAGAAAAAAAAGGGGGATGTCAAGTTTTATTCTATTATGCCATACATTTTTAATTACTTTTTAAACAGCTCATAAACAGTGTAGCTTAGTAATAATACTGAAATAGGAAAATGTTAATGCTTTCATAATCTCCCGACTATTGTAAACTGAACTTTCCACACACAAATATTAAAGTATATAATTATCTTTCTGGGCTTAGAATCTAGTATTTGTCATTCAAAAATATTTTAAAGCTAACACTTGTTTGAAATAGATAACTGTTTCAATCTTAACTAAAATTCATATTTTTACTTTCTGTTTTTAAGACTTCCTCGGTTGAACTATATCTGAACACTGATTTTTATAAATGTCATCTCAGAGCAAACAAAACATTTCAATACAGCTCCCTGATGAAAGGCAATAAACTGCATCATGTATCACCACATTACCTAAACAATACCACTCCAATTCCATACCAATTGCATCGTTTAAAAACATGCTGCTTCACTTTAACAAAACCTAGCAAACCAACAGACACAGGGTCCCTCGTATTTGTGAAGAGACAGAGTTCCTTTTCACTTTATTGGAATGAAAGAACAATGGGAAAGCACAGATCAGACCTCCAAAGTCATCTTTCCCTTTTTGTTTTTTATCAAGTGCTCTGATCTCTACTTCCTATTAGTATAATTTAATGGAATTTCTCAAAAAAAAAAATCAGATGCCCAAGGACCCTCAAAATATTGCTAATATTCCTGTAACCTTTGGTAATAATTGGACAACTTTCAGTTTCACATACAAACTAAGAGGAGTCAGCTTTTTTTGTATTAGGTGTAATGTAGCTACTCATCTCTACAGATGATCAATCTTCCCAGAACTTCAATGTTTTTGTTCCTTCTACTTGCAACAAGCAAAAAGAGGCCATATCTACAGACTGGTTTTATAGGCACTGTTAAATGCCATGCTTGTTCTCTTCCCAATCCTAAAGGCTCACAGGCCAACTTCACCGGCACACCCAAATTCCACTGAGGGGATCTGTGATATGAGAAAATCTTTTTATCATATGACCTTCACGCTGCCTCTAAATTTCAGCTGCACTAAGTAACAACATGCTTGGTGTCAGGAGCCAGCCACCATTCCCCAGCACTTACCAGATCATGAGATCAGTCTAGCTGCTGAGAGATAGTGATATACAACCAATATAACACTGAGATTTCTGACTTGATGTGTCCAGTAGTTTTACACCACATTTGTAGCCTACCAAACAAAGTTTCTGCACTTCAGGTCCACTCAGTACAACACACAAGGAGGAAAAGGGAGAGAAGGTGCACGGTGACAGAATCAGTAAGAACTACTAAGTGTAGAAACATTTATTTGCACTGAACTAAAAAATCAGGAAGGAGGCTAAACCAGAATGTGTTTTCTACTTAATAGATCATGGCCCCGATTCTGCATTTGCTTTCTAGTCAGGGTTAGCGCTAAAACAGGATCATCAGCACACTAAGGTCATGCAATTAAGCTAACAAATGTACACAAATATGCTTTTCAAGTACACCTCGCCAAGACCAATATCATACTTTACAAAATAAGATTTTATGAAGGCAGAAACACATTTAACTGGCCATTTCTAAAGTATTACCAGCTTACCTTTTAGGTTTATTTTAAATGTGGGTTTTTTTTAATAAATACAGTCTCATGGGTTAACAATGCCCCCTAAAGTACTAGCACATGATATATAGCAGTAATATCTACTAGTAACTGTTGTCAATAGGGAATAAAACAATAACGTCTCAAGTGTATAACTGTTAAGGTAAACGGTGCCTACAATAAAGTTATGAACTATTATTTATCTTAAGAATCAATATCCAGATATTGTACCGATGCGCAGATTTTATAGTTTCGCATGTAAAAAGCTTGAAATAAAGCTAAGGATAAAAGCAAGATTGTGCTCCTGAAAAATGATCTCTCAGTCTTCTGGTTTGCACACAAAAACCTCTCTGAAATGCAACAGATGTAGGCTGCAGGTGATGTTACTGGTTAATTTTCCTGGGTTAATTTCATGACCAGATTAAGTAATGAAAATTAATGCTTTTAAACTACTTGTTCTGATGCCAGTTACCAAGTTTCCAGCAGTTTAGAAAACTGAAAAGGAAAACCAAACACCTGTCCAGTAGCTTCATACAGTAAAGGCAAACATTTTAAGCCTTATCCTTTAAAGCCTATGTAAATGTTGTCTTGGACTTCTGGATTAGACCCCTTGGTTTTTATGAAGGTGTTTTATGTTGACATGAATGAGTGCTATTATTTTGATATTAGTCTAATCTATCTGAATGTTTTGTTAGAGAAAATTAAGAATTTTTTTTTTAAAGTATACACCATTTGATTCAACAAAGTAACCCTCAGAATAAAAACTGCACACTTACTAAGAAATGGAAAAGTACATACGCATTTTTAAGAAGCTATATAAATGGCATCTACTATGCCAAACTCAGACATCATCTTAAACGTCCAAGGAAAAAGTGCAATAATTGCTATGAAAAATACTTTATATTTGAATAAAAGTCTGTGTTGAGTTCTGGAACAGAAACCCAACATTTATAAACCAGAAAACATAATTGCAACACACATACTTAAAAATCTAAACAGGAGTCTTGCTACTTTTCAGTAAAGAAAATAGGTTGTCTTACAGTCACATCAGTGGGAAAAAACATTCCAACTGAACTAAGATATTCTTACCAAACTGATTCCCTCTTTACAGTCCTGTTTTTCCTTGATCTAGGGAATTATCATTTGATGTATTTATTATCTGTGTAATGAAAAGCAAAGGCAAAAAAAAAAATCATGTCTTTAACTTCTGAAAATGATTACTGTATAGTCACATGAGCCAAGAATATTAATATGCAATTAAAGTGACAGGAAGTAAAATAAATGACTACTTGGACAAATAACAGTGAAAGAGATTAAGAATCTGATAAATGAGCTGCCATTATTAACTAACACTCACCATATGTCAACAAATGTCCAAGATAGTACAGAATTGCCATATTTGCTTTTCTTTTACATGCAATAATGAATTTTTTAAAAATGTTACATTGTTTTTCTATAAACATAAACATGATCCTAATACTCAAACTTTTTTCAAATCAGAAATGACAACACATTGTATTAGGCAAATTTCATCCCATTTTCAGAAGATGAATAGTAAATTATTCAAGACTACATTAAATAATACAAA